GGTCATTTCCATTTTCTTTTTTGAAAACACCACTTACAAATTCCTTGGTGATTTTGTCCACTCAAAACTCACATCCACAGGCTCATGGACAGAGGCACACTTAGACTTCCCACCCAGCATTCCCTTTCTGTGTGGTCTCCGTGTCCTTCGCAGGAGCCTCTGCTCAGTGGGTGGATGTGAGACCCCATACTACGGCAGCTGGACGCCAATAGGTGTGGCCAAGTGGACGCCAATTACCTGACAGATGGGGGAGGGGCAAAGGAGGTCCACGTGGCAGTATTTGCCTGCCTTTTTCTTCTGGGCTGACAAGCGTCCACAGGGAGACTGGCCAGCATCCTCTCGGGCCGTCCCTGACGGTGTGTGTCAGTGAGACCACACCAAGCAGGCCTAGGGTCTGTCCCTGTCAGCCTCTAAAAAGCCACCCTGACCTTATTTCATCTTGCTCTGGAGAGGGCAGGCTGTGGCGGAGATCACTCCTTTTCATCCCTGCCAAGCCCCATTCTCACAGATGTTTGGCTCTCCCAGTTTCTTGTGCTGCCTGGGAATTTGCAATGCAATTCAGTGATTCCTATTTTCTTCTTTCTCCAGACATGCGAATTTCCACCCTTCCCAGTGAGTCACCACGCACACATCCACTCTACAGTGTCTAAGTTACTGTTGTATTTTTGTCTTCTCTGGCCTCTTTTCCTTTTCCCTTCAGTTTGTCCCTCTGGTTCCAGAAAACAGTAGAGAGGCAGCATGCCCACCTTGCTGTGCTTGCTGTGAAGTCAGCTTCCCTTCTGTGCTGAATTCGATGCTGCCCCTGGCTTCCATGTAATAGCAGCATCGTTTTGTAGTTGAGCTCGCTGCAGTTCGCCGGCCTGACATTGCCCTGCAGGGTGCAGAGGCAGAGAGGTGAGAACACCATCTCTGCCCCTGGTGTGGAAGTAGCTGCGCAGTCAGCCCAGCACTGTGGGGAGTGTTTCTCTAGTCGCCGTTCAGACTAAAGTAGTTTGTAGGTGAGTTCATCAGCAGTGTGAGTTGATGCATGATAATTCTCAAAAGTCCAAAAAGACCACTTTTACTGTCCATGTGTCACTACTAAATGCTGAGAATTGTTGCAGTAGGTGCTAATTTTTTTTTTTTTTTTTTTTTGAGGAACTGGGGATTGAACACAGACCCTTGCACTTGCCAGGGAAGCACTTATTCTACTGAGCCATCGCCCCGGCCCCAGGCTAAAATAATTTTGTACCCATTTTAAGGGCTGTAATCAGAAGTTGGTTTTCTACTGTTGTGCATCCTCACCACTTACTTTACTTAACTTTTCAGTTTTTTTGCTTTATCAGATATTTTATGGGAGATATGTTGTTTAAATATTTTCTTGTTTGTTACAACCCTACCTGTGACCTTACAAAGTGGATTTTCCCTGTTCTGAACAGTCTGATAAGGCAAAAGTAGCTTTGGCTATCAAAACTACTTAAGCCAGAGCTTAACACTAGTTTTCTGATTTGAGGAATTTAATAAATTACTGTTTTCTGCTATCTTAGGCAATATGAATTCTGGGGAGTGCACATAAAGTTACATGTGTCAGTTTACTTATCAGAATTCTACTGGAGCTCTCTTGTGGTTTTATTTTCTTAACATTTAGAAGGGAACAAATTGGCTTGAGCTTTCTCCTCAAGGCTGTTTAAAGTCACTTGACATTTTAATGTGGCTTTTATTTGAACTGTGGTGCCACACACTTTTTTAAGCCTAGCTCCTGGCTTCTCTCAGGCACGCCGTGTTCCCTCCGTGCCCTTTCACATTGCCTCATGTCTGAAAATGGACCTCTTTGTACATGTTAATTCCATTATGAACTTTAGAGAACCACACATATTGACCTGTTTCTCTGAACATGATCAAATACGATGGCCGATAATAGTAATAAAGTAAATGTTTTTTAATCTTTTTTACCACTACCCATAAAGAGTGAGACAAACCTGATCTGAGTATAAAGCTACCAGTTTTCTAATACCTTGATCATTCAATTCATTAACAAAATTTCCCCCAGTGTTTTTTATGAATTAAAAACGAGGGAAAGAACCTACATGAGAAAATGCTGCTGCTTACACAGCTGATCAAAGACTGAGTAGTTACACCAAACAGGATTCCTAGGATCACAGCTTGCTGTCCTCCATCTCTAATGGACACAGGTGCGCCCACACGGAGGTCCACTCTGTTCTGCCATGCTGCCCTCTCACCCAGAGCCACTGCTCTTCCGGTTGGGGCTGCTGATCAACTCTCCACTCTCTTGCTTCGCCCCGCACTGGTGGCTCAGCTCGCCGGGGTCCAGATGCTGTGCTGCCTGCTGCGTCTCCCCCTCTGCCCAGTCAGCACTCTCACCTCACCTCTTGCTTGTGGTACATCTGCTGGAGCCAAGAAGGAATGGATAGGCCTGACTCAGTCCTTGCCTGACGACTTACTCATGATATGTGACCCAGCTTTGAATGTCTGCTCACAAGTGCACCTTTTCTTTCTTCTCCTTGAATGAGTTCATTTGCCCCACACGAAGGTTCTCATAACATCCTTTGAGAGAAGTAGTTCCTACATGGCTTCCCTTTGTGCTTCTGTCCTGTGTGACTTGCCGTCACACCTTCATCCTGTGTGGCTTCCTTTTACATCTCCATCCTATGTGATTTCTCTTCATACTTTCATGCTGTGTGACTTCTCTTCCGGCCTTCATCTAATGTGTTTTCTCTTCATGACTTCATCCTGTGTGATTTTCCTTTATGCTTCCCATCCTGTTGGATTTCCCTTCATGCCTCCATCCTGTGTGACTTCCCTTAACGCTTCCATCTTGTTTGATTTCGCTTCATTCTTTCTATCCTTTGTGAGTTCTCTGCGTGCTTCCCATTCTGTGTAATTTGCCTTAGTGCCTTCATCCTATGTGATTTCCCTTCGTATCTCCATCCTAAGTGATTGCCTTTCGCGGTTCCCATCCTGTGTGGCCTCCCTTCATGGTTCCCATCCTGTGTGGCTTCCCTTCATTCTTCCCATCCTGTACGATTTCCCATCATGCTTCCCATCTCTAGGAGTCCCTTCCTGGTTCTCGTCTTGGTCCAAGAAGTTAATATTTGTAATCCCAAAGATACATTATTGGAATCCCACCAAGTTAAATCGAATCTATCACTCCCAGTGCAATCCACGGCAAAAGTAAAGACACTAAAACATATTTATAATTATTGGGGAGCCAAGGGGCACTAAGTCCAGCCATGAAGATGGCTTTCTGGAACAAAAAGGTTGACCCAGGGCCTCACCCAGTTTTATTCATTGGATGAGTGGCTTGAGGAGGAATGACTGAGAATTGTGGGAAGTAGGTGAGTACTGTAAACTGAGCTAGGTAGGTGGCCTACATTTACCTCTGCCATATGCAGAGAGGATATGCAGAGAAAGTAATCTACTTTATGCTATAGAGATAGTATCTGACGTTTTGGGGGGACTGGTACTTTAGCTTTCAAGCCCCAGGAAGTCATAGCTTCTATCTCGAGCCTTGATCCCAGCTGGTGGCGCGGAACATTGGCTCTTTGTCCTGTCTTGACCCAGCTCATGTTAGAGAGCAGCAGGTCTGGGTTACCAGGGAAACACGCCCGCCACCTTCAGAGACTATCACCAGCACCTCAGCTAGACCAATACACATTGCTTAAGGCCAAGTGAAGGATAAACAGCAGTCCTAGCCAGCTGTGTACATAACAATACGAGGAAATAGGGTCAGGCTCAGTCAAAATGGAGACAGTTGCTCTTCTTTCAAGGAGAGCTGCTCAGGTGGTCCTCCACACCCATCCTGTGTGGCTTCCCTTTATGCTTCTAGCCTTGTGCATTTTCCCTGGTCCTCTATACTGTGTGGCTTCTCCATGTCTCCCATCAGTTGTGGATGACTAAGTTTGGAGCTTTTATTCCAGGACCTGGCTGAGGTTTTTATTTGTGGTGGACTCTCATTAAATTGTTCATAAGTGAACAGACAGTGTAGTAGTTGAGTAAATAAAGGTACCTCTTTAAAGATCAGGTTGGTGCTGAGAATTGCATTCACCTTCTGTGTTCTGTTGTTACTTATCCCACTATTATACCCATTTACTAAGAAAAATACATTGTCCTCTCATGCTGCATGAAAGAGTTTTAAAGAAGCAAATATTTAAAACTGATCTCCCACCAACATTAGTGAACCTTAGAAACTAATAAATAGGAAGAATTGGGCTCATTCTTGATCACTTGCAGAAAGTAGCTTGTGCTTCAGGTGAAGCATCGTGGACCACTGGTTGGAAGAAATAGAAATCCAGTTTAAAATGAACTTGACTGTATATTTCAGTTTGATTACTTTAGCCGCAGGAGTCTGCCTCTGTAGAAACATTACCAGGGAGTTTGGGCATGAGACAGAGATGACTGTGGAATCTCAACATGGAATTAAAAATGAAAACATGCTTTTGATCATTTAAAAATGTGTGGATTAAAATAATAACAGAGTGGTAATGGCAGTAAAAAGGAAGGTGAAAGTTTGCACATTAGATGCTTTACTCTCAGAAGACACCTTCTGCTCTCCTGAAGGCACCAGCATCACTGGGAACCAAGTGCCAATCTGAAGAAATACTGCTTGGCTTGGGCTGGTGGTCTGTCTTCTCCCAGTGTGTTTTTAAAAACAATTACCGAGGAGTGTTTGTAAATGACTATAATTTGATAACTTGAAATTAATATATATTCATATATTTAAGAACAGGTTAAGTACTTGACTTCTCTGAGATAATGATTTATATTTCTAGTCATCATGAAACTTTTTCTTAACCAAGTATTTATTAGTATTCATAACTTTCACATGGCAGGGAGAGTCTGTAGGCATCTCAGTCCAGAGAACACAGTTGTTTCAGGTCTGCAGTAGGTCACTGGCCTTTGTTTCTTTCATCAGGTATGTTGTCAGGGTGACTGTAGGCAGTCATTGCCCACACAAGCCTAATGAATATGTCGTGTTGTTCTGCTTGCTGTATCCCTTCTAGGTACTGTGGTCTTTGGAGTTGGGTCACTGGATTTCTGAGGAGCCTTTTGAACTCTCTACCTACTTCCCAGCAGCTCCTGTAAGTCAGATGTTTTCTTTTCTTATGATAAATGCAGTTTTATTTGCTTTGGAAATCATTATAATCATAAATTCAACTTACTAAGTTGAGTGCAGTCATGCTGAAATTAAAGACATAGCCATAGAATGTGATGCTTTTCATTGATTTATTAGATCATATTGAGAATGTGTTGATACTTTGTAAAATTGAAGAAAAAAGGTGGCTTAAGAAATTTTAGTTACGAAAGCCTTCAGAGTTGAGGAAAACAAAAGTAATTTTAAAAACTGTATTCTTGGGAAGGTAGCATTTTATCTTGCATACTATTTTAAAAACAAATGCCTTTACTATTAATAGAGATAGAACTGATAGGTATAAAAGTGGTGTCTTGTTAGCATTTTATTATAGCCTTCATATTGTGATGGTTTTCCTCAGTTCTGCTTTAGTTTTTCTGACTTGTGTTTCCCATGTTTAATGGGAAAGGTCCAGGTTGTATTTTTCTACAGATTAAGCAAGAATGGAGTGAGTCACTTGACGCTTGACTGGAAGCACAGTGGTGCAGAAGTCAGCTTTCGTTTTCAGGGCTGCTGGCTGCTTTGTGACAGCTAATTCTTTCAGATTGGTGTCTGAGCGCTTGGCCTGGCCACGTCTGTGCGGTGTGACTGCCTGAGTCAGCCTCTGGCGGTGACGTGGCAGGAGGCTCGGCAACGCTCTAGTCAGGGCTTTGTTTTGGTTTTCATTTTTCAGATTATTGTTTTGATTTCCTTTCAGCTTTGTAAATATTTTCTTAAGGAGAGAAAAAATTCCTCCCAGCAGGACTGTTTGTTTGAAATACTGGATAAGCAATTGAAGTGTAAAGTAAAAACACAAATTCCTCCCATTCTCCGTCAAGCAAGATTATATATAACTCTAAGTAGCATAGTAAGGTTTGTCTTTGAATTTTATTTTTCCTGCCTACCTGAGAAATTGATAGAATGGTCTGTTGTTCTCAGTTTTTTCTAGTTATCATTTTCTTACCTCAGAAACTTACTGTGGGCTGAAATTTTCCAATAATCAGGTTTCCTAAAACCAGAGGTGAATCAATTCTAGCCTTATTGAGTTTTCAGTCCTTCTCAAATGTCACAAGAGGAACAGTTCGCAGCTGGGAAGGTCCGGTGTGGGTGGGAAACACAGTATGGCAAATGGCCAGAGCCTGCAGGCTCTCGGGGGCCGCAGCCTGGCCCAGCTCTGAGCAGCGCCACCCCACCCCAGTGCTGAGGGACTCAGGGGAATGAATGCATACGAAAGCAGAATAAAGAAAAGGACTGCTAGGACAGGAAGACATGCACAGGAGGCGCTGGCTCCTTCTAGCTGTGCCTCAGAGTGACTGTGAGACCTGCTTCCAAATGCATTACGCAGATGTTCGTTAGCGCCCACTGTACTGCGAGGGCTTCCACAGAAGCTGAGTTGGGGAGACTTAGATTTTATGGCCCTGGGCGTGAAGCTGCGTCCTCACAAGCTTTCTGGGAGCTCTCGGGTAGCCGCTCACAGAAGGTTCTTCTTTCACATTCTGAAACACCTTTTCCTCTCAGTCTGCTGACGGATGTAAGAAACAAAATCTTACAAAGCCAAATTTTTTTTCTTAAATAAGTCAAATCTTGAGCATTATAGCTTTGTAAATGTCTCAGATGGAATGCTTTTCTCAAACACAAATTAAGTTTCAGCTTGGTCTATAAAATAAATCTAGATAGGTGAGGACATAGACTTGTTGCGATAGTGAGAAGACAGTGTCTGTGTTATATACTTATGTGTAGTTTCCTTCATTAAAGTCAAACTTTTTCGTGTCATGAGCACAGTTATTGTATAACCAGATTGTGGAACTTACAATATTACCATAGAAGTTAAACATAGTTATCCCACTTAATAAGTTATATTTAATTACTAAAAATACCTTCATATTTAACAGCCAGGCAGAATTTAAAAAGTACACTCTTCATATAAACTCAAATAGCAATCACCTCTATTAGTAATTTTAAAGATTCTGGAAGTTCATATCATATAAACTTGAAATATGTATTTGAGCATTAACTTAAAATTAAGCTGTCAAGATATATGTAAATATGCTATTTTTAAAATACAAATTTAAAGCACATACAGGAGTAAAAATGCACTATGTTTTTCCAAATATTAAACTGTAATAAGCACTTCTCAGCAAAATCCCTGAATATATCATATATTCTTATGGCTTGGAGAATTCTGTCTTTTCCTGGTAGTAGTGATGGCCAACTTCAGGGTACACAGCTATTTACACAGTCTATAAACAGTGCTTGGAGGAATGCGGCTCCAAGATTATCTGCTCTATGTAGCGTCAAGTGTTCTGTTTCCAGTTATTTACTGATAAACGCGCACATGACATCGCGGTTGTGACAGCAGAATCTGGGAGCTGTCATCTCTCCCAGCCTTAACTGATCTCCATGAAGGTGGGCCACCAGCCCACTCTACCAGGTTGTGTCTGGTGTGGGTCTCGCTTCGGCTTCTTGAGCCATGCAGGGTTAGTGATGCTGTGCTGGTCTCAGCCATGGTCAGGAGCTTGCAGGGTGGAAGCTGCCTGCGGTGAGGGCGGAGACAGCATGTGGCCAGCCCTGCGTTCAGTGCTTCGGACCTGCCTCTGGAATGGTACAGGACTCTTCCAGGGTGGCTTCAGCACTTAGAAATCTGCGGGCCGGATCATCATGGTGGTGGCCTTGAGCGAGTAGCCTGACCCCTTCCAGTAGTACCACTTAATCCCATTGAACTTGTTCATGTTCTGCCTTTGTGGATAGTACATTCCATTCAAGTTAGATGGGCCACATGCATCAAACCACCAGCCTGTGAAAGCAGAACATAAAAGGAGTCAGGAGCGAGGTCAGGCTGACTGCACAGAGCGCTGCTTGGCTGAGCTGGTCATCGCGACCTGGACCCTCAGCAGGCACACACAGATGGCATGCCATGGGACGTGCTGTGTGAGCAGGAACATGGCCCCTACGTGGGCCCCATGCCATCCTACTTCCGTGGTGGCACGTGTCCTTATGAACTGGCTTGCCTTTTTCTTGTGCTGTGGGAATGGCCTGTCACCCCTGGGCATCTGGGTGGTAGACACAGTGCAATTGGAAGTAGGGCTAAGTGGGCCTCACAGGGGCCGTGGAGCGCGCCAGCCCGGCTTACTTTCCTGCAGCATGTGGGCTGAGCTGTTCGGGCTCCCCTCTATCAACAATTGTTTTGGTTCAAATAGAAGCCAAATGTTAAGCACTCAGTGGAGCTTGATGGGGAGGAGCCCAGCTGCCTCCGTGCAGCAGGCCGGCACAGTAGGTGGGCAGGGTCCAGAGGACGCACCCCTTCTATGTGTGTGAGTTGAAATGAGTCTTCAGTGCCTGATGTGGGGCTCCATTGTATGATACCTCTGAGCCGAATGCTTGGATGACAAAGAACAGTAGCACAGCTTTAGTCATGGCTCAGCAGTTAATAAAATAAGTCAAAGTGAATGAAACTCAATCTGGTACCTAGGAAGTGGTATTAGTATAGTTTTTACCACATCTGTAAACTGTGATTCCTTAAAACCGCCCTGCTGCAGAGGTGGGAGTGGTAGTGCACACCTGTCACCTCAGTACTTGGGAGGCTGGGCTGGAGGATCCAGTTCAAGACAGGCTTAGCAACATAGGAGACCCTCTGTCACACCAACAAACACATAAACAAACAAGCAAGCATCTGATTTTAAAAACCCGGGAGTGTGTGGCCCCATCAGCACCTGCCTTCTCCCTGCTGACAGCCCTTGGTGCGAGGTGATTGAGATGAGGAGAGCCGACAGTGTTGCCCGGAATAGTCAGGAGCATCAGACTGCTGGCACAAGTCTGTCTGCACATCTCACGCCCCCAGACCACGCTCTCTGTGGTCTCAACCCCGGAAGGAGTTGGGCCTCCTGCAGCCCAGACTGTTCTTTTCTCTGTGGGGCTGCTTTTCTTCTCCCTGTCTTTTCCGCAGCTCCAATCTCAGCCCTTAAATCTTGATCCGGGTAAATAAATATGTTGTTTCCTTGGATATGTGTGCAACCTCCTAGTCTCTGGAGTCACACACGGCCCACGGGTGGTCTGGGAACCTCCAGCCTGTCAGGCACACGGGCCCGGAGTGTGGGAATGGGGGACAGGAAAGAGGATTAAGAGTGTTTGTGCCCCCTTGTCAGTGACTTTAAAGAAGATTATTGTGGTGGGAATGAGGGAGACCAGACGTTTTTTACAAAATCAAGTAATAACTTTTCTGTATGTGAAATAATGACTTGAGGGAAAATCCACGGCACCAAGCAGTGACTGTATTATCTCAGGAACCAGAATTGAAGTTTTAAGAGGGCCCAAGTCCTGCAGTAGTCAAGACCTGAAATTTAAAGTTGGGAAAATGACTGGGTTTCACTTATTGCCATAAATAAGTCCTCCCCTTGATTGTCAGCATTTCCTACGCAAAGTGCGAGTGTACCGTGAGCGTCCGTCCTGCGCCTGTCTAGTGCATCACCTGACCTGCATAAGAGACGTCAGCCACAGCTCCAAGCTTTGCTTTGCGCTGGCGAGCAAAGGTCCGTTTTTCCTAAAATAACTTTTACTCTCTCCTCATTAAACTCTGCTGATTCCTGTTGGCACTCTTCCTGGTGCTCCTTAAAATCTGTTAGTGTTTCTAAGAACCAATTAGACAGCATCTGTCAGTCTTCTTTCTTATCTTGGTCATTGCTAGCTAGTGTGTGTTACTTCATTCCTAAACTTTAAAATACTAGAAGCACAAGTTGTCTAACAGTTGTTTCTTCTCAGCTTTTAAATGTTTCTGAGCCCAACCCACAGCAGTCTACTTGGGGAGTGCTTTCTGTTTTAAAATAGTCAGGGTAGAAAGCAAAAAAGGCCTTAATTTAAAGTTAACAATCACTTACTCTGGTGCACTGAAAAAGCAAGTTGCTTAGATTCTTTGTATTTGTATTTATATTTGCTGTGTGTTAATAAAATATATATGAACTAAAAATTGCTTTTTTAACATTAACATATCCATAAGAAATACAGCAAAGTGAAGAGACATGTTCTAACATGTTCTATCCAGCAAACACAAACTCGAGAGAGCCCAGAGTGTGGACTGTCCCCTCTCCTTGCCAAGGGTGGGTCCTTAGGGGACACAGTTGACCTGCTGGCAGTTCTCACTCACTATCACATTCTGTCTTCAAACCCAACAGTCTAAAAAACAAAAAAATGTACCTGTGTCCGGCTAGTTTATCTATGTATGAAGTTTTGGACCATCTCCTGTCACAGCTGGAAGCCCCAGTGGCTCACCTTTCGTGCTGTGAAATGATCCAGGACAAAGAGGAAGACAGAGTCATCCCTACCTCCCGTGAGCATCTGTGAGCATTTGCAGATACATTTGTCGTTGTCGGCGTCCTTCGTGCTAAAATCATTTCCTGGTTGGCTTATGCTGCTTATTTTGCCGGCTGTGCCTGTGAGTCCTTTAAGGTGAATCCTGTAAGCAAAGGAAAAAATAAGATGGAATTGGCTTGAGTTGTTGATTTGCTGTAGTGGAAAATTTTCATAGTGAAGAATTCCATTGTACAGAAGCAGTTCTGTGCTGTCGGTGCACTGCAGTACCTACTCTGGACAAAACATTTTGCACTGCTGTAAACAGGAACTGACTTATCATCAAATCCCTTGGCAAAGAGGGCTGTTTTCATGACAACTTCAGCACATATCACTTGCACACGTATCAGCAGGCCCTGTACAGCCCTATACTTCATCATCCTGCTGCCTTCAGATAAGCAGAAGAGGGAACTGCAGCCCAGCAGCAGCCACCCAGGTCTCTGGTTTGCACCCCATGGAAAGTACCAGATGCGAACCGGGTGACCTCCAAGACACTGTTTTCAGCAGGGCTGGGTGTGAGGTGGAGGGGACATCAGACAAGGAACGGTTACTGTGGCTGGAGTGGCAGCAGGTGCAGCTGTGGGCAAATGACCCTAGTGTTGCTCTGCCTTGTTTCCATACAGCACTGTAATCCCATCAGCTCTGAGAAAGGAAAGAAGGGCCTGCTAAGGCAGCGTGTGCTGTTAGGGTGTCACGGCAGCATGCCTGCCATCAGCCAGCTCGCCCAACGAGGAGAACCTAAAGAAAGGCAAGAAGGGTGCACAAGTTTTGAAAAGATTGAGCTTTTCTGGAGTTTCGTGTGCAAGTGGTCAGGTGTATCTCAGAGCTTGCTCACATGCAGTGGCGGTGGCGTCTGCGACAGTGGGGCCTGTGATGTCGATGTTGGCGCTGGGCGGGGCTGGTGCGCCACGTCCCCATGTTTCAGGGGAGATGCAGACACACAGAAGCACAGCCACAGATCCAGAGTCCTGCAGTGGCCGCAGGGTTCTCCTGTATGCTTGTCTTCGTGAAACCTGCTGTATTCACTGAGCATCTCGGAAGCATGTTGCTTTGGAACTAATATAATTTACAAGAATGCCTGTTGGAACAAAGTGAGAAGACAGGCAAGGCCCTCTCGGTTCCAGGCACTTAGCTGATCTATGTGTCGAGTCCCATGAATCCCCAGAGCCAGCCACTATGTCACTACGTGAGAGGTCAGAACCAGGCCAGAGTCCAGCCTACTAAGTTGTAGAGCTGAGACTTGCACCGGTATGCTACCTTCCGAGGCTTCCATCCTAGGTCACTTCACAGAGACATTTGCTTGTGGCAGAGGAAGGTGGGAAGGTGTCACTGGAGCCCGTGCAAGGCAGTTCCCTGCCTGTGGCTCCTGGGTGACTGCCAGGTCAGTGACTCAGACATACTTTCTTTTAATGCAGCAGCGCTAGGTACTTCGCATAGCGCTGACTGAACTTGTGAATGTCAGCATTTTCCTGTATGTTTGAAAAGTGCACCAGGCTGGCCCAACCTCTGCTGCTTGCTGCAGACCTAACACGGTAGGTTCGCTCAGGTGGCGCTCTGCCCCCCTGCAGGCTCTCCCTGAGGACCTGAGCAGGGCCCGGCCGGGCCATCTCCCTGGCTGCGCCTCTGCGCGCCTGTCCTGGCTCCCTGCACAGTCTGCCCCCGTGCAGCTCGTGACACTTCCCTACTGGCAAGCAGAGTGGGGAGATGCTATTTTTATTACTGCCTATTTGAAATCTGTAGCTTTTGGTCTTTGATGATGGCCCACTGGTTTAAAGTAGTTTCATTTACAGTTTGATTATCAGGAACAACCTTTTTTTGTTTCTGTCCCTTTCTTCTATTCTCATTTCTCTTCCTCCTTCTTCTTTCTCCCTTCCCTTCTCCTTTTCTTGCTACTCTCCTCCTCCTCCTCCTCCTCCTCCTCCTCTTCCTTCCCTCCACCCCTTCTTCCCTTTTTCCTTCTCCCCCTCCTTCTTCCTCTCCTCTTTCTCCTTGTCCTCCTTCTTGCCTCTTGCAGTATGAAGGATGGAACCTAGACGTTTTACACCTGCTCACATCCCCACTCCGTGCCCCTGTTCAGCACCCTGATCCTTCTTGGCTTGTCCTAAATTTCATTTCCTTTTTTGCTGTTATTATTGTTGTCTTTGAGATGGGCTGTTACTAAGCTGCCCAGGCTGGCCTGACCACAGTGCCCGGGTTACAGATGTGTACCACCATGCCCAGCTAACTTCGCCACACTCCTGAGCTCACTTTGCTTTTGTGTGACTTGAGTGTCTGCAAGAATACAGCGAAAAGGCGATGGGACACTTAACAGTCACTCTCAAAAGACCTCTGAATGGTTTATAAGAAGTGACCAACTTTTAGGGCTGGCCAGATAGCTCAGTGGACTAAAGCACCTGCTTAGGCAAGGTGCAGGCGCCGGTGTTCGATCCTGAGCACCACACATTGTGCTGGCCCTGCCCCCAAGGCGTACTGAGAAGGCGACTCACATGGGGCATGGTGGTTCATGCCTGTAATCCCAGCACTTGGGAGGCTGAAAACAGGAGGAGCACTATGAGTCCGATCGGTGCAGTGAGACCCTGTAGACACTGTACTAAATACATTTTTTAAAAGTGACCAATTTTTAAGGGTTAATATACCAATAGCTTCCGGTTTATGAAAAAGAATTCTATCCTGTTGGTACTGCATATATTCATTTCTTAGCACATGCACTGTTCCGTTTTCCAACATTTGGGGAACATTTCCTAAGGGGCAAAGCACACCATTCGTATTCTGAAACATTTGTAGACACTGAAAGTTTTAGTGACATCACTAATATTTTGTCACATCAAACACTGTGATTTATTAGTACAGAGATATTTATAGAATATGTTTTCTATTGCTAAAGAAATTGAATTTTAAACAAGTGTCTTTTTCTAGGATTTTTTTTTTTTTTTTTTTTTTTTTTTTTTTTTTTTGTGGAACCGGGGATTGAACTCAGGTTCTTGTGCTTGCCAGGGAAACACTTATTCCAGTGAGCCATCTCCCCGGCCCCATGTGTCTTTTTCTAAATGGGGTATCCAAAACCTGATGGCATTCTAAAGGAAATGTCCACTAAGAACCATCTTAGTTTAGAATTTCTTCCTAACATCAGCATATGAGGGTAATGACCCATTCTGTTAAATCTTCTTACACAAACATCTAATCCTTAATTTTTTGTGTCTCCTTTTTTAAGTTCCTCTTTTGTAGATTCTTAACTGTTGCCAGTTGAGAAAATATTTAGCTTGGAGGTGACACAGTGAGAACCGCTGGCGTCTTGGCATCCAGTGGGGCTCTGGTCTTTGGGGGGCAAGTGGGCCTGCTGCCCTGTCTTATACACGTATCCTGGCCTTCCAGGAGCCCTGCTTACCATACTGAGGACTGAGAGATGGGCCTCGCCGACATCAGGCTTCGCCTGTCTGCAGGCACACTTCTGAATCGGAACCCAAGTCTGAAGCTGTGGCATGGTCCTGGCACATGGTTCAGGCCCTAGGACTCTGGCCTGTGTCCCTGTTCTGTCCTTCGGGCCCCTCCCTGGGGCCCCTGGGCTGTTCACTCTATGCTTCCCTGCAGGTGGAGCTGGGCACTGGTGAGGTGGGCCTGGCTGAGGACAGCCGCCTCCTGCACCATTCCTGTGAGCGGCCCTTGAGCGGGCTCGACACAGGTGTTGCACAGCCCCATGGCTACCCAGGGCTACTGCTCAGGCTCCTGCAGAGGAGTGCTGGTGACAGCTGCCCCAGCCCCTTCCTTAGTGCCCGCGGCCCACATCCCAGCCACACTCCTGCACTGGAGACTGTTGGCCTCTGTGCTGTCTGTGTGTAGCATATCAAGTGCTGTTCCCCTTTGGCATTCTTTGAGTGGTGTTTTACAGCCAGAAGGGAAATTCTCTGTCCAGGTCACACGTACTACCGGTTATTGCCACCACATGGGTAGGAGCCCAGGAACCCAAAGGGACGCTGTGGGTCGGGTGCTGCACTCCAGAGCACAGCAGTTGCCTGATTTTTCCATTTTTATACTTGCAGGCAATCCTCACTTTGGGATTAAACACAGTAATTAATGTGTTTAAACTTCAAACAGTAGCTTAACTTTTAGTCCCTTGGGGAGAAAGTTGTCTGTTACGATAATAGGGACACACAGCATTCACTCTGTAGGCTGATCTGTGTAGCATAGACTTTTAGGAAACACCCCAGGCAGAAAACCTTCTAAACCAAAGTTAGAGTTTAAAAGTAAGGAAACACATTGGCTAAGCAATGGCCGTGACTCATCCACATGGCTGACACTGACAAAGGTTCTACAATCTGAGGTACAGGCTCTTAGGATAAATCCTGCAGGGATTTCACTGACCTTATCAGACCC